GGGGGGGGGGGGGAGGAGGGGAGGTGCAGTAGAAGGTGGGTGGTGCTGCTGCAGCATGAACAACTTACAGTTTGAGCTTCTTTTGGACGGAGGCAGCCTCCTCAAAAACGTAGGGAGCTATCTTCGGAAGCCCAAGGATGTGAACAACAGACAACATGAGTGATGTCTGCTCCCGAAAACCACCGTTTCAAACTGAACATTTGTTCCTTTTCTTGCTTTCTTTTTCAGGTCTGTGATTCCAAGAGGTGCCCATGGCGTTGTAAACTGCACTGAACTTTGGCATGGTTACAGGAGGCGTACTCACGTGATCCTGTTGGCATGCAATTGGGTAGTCTGTGTCTGGATTTGTACAATCAATGTGATAAGGTGGCATTTGTTAGGGGCGTGCCTCTTCTCTGAGCTCACGGTGACAGGCAACTGCTTGTTGGATGCTTTATGGAGTCTGCAGCATTCAGTGGACTGGTGTGAATCATCAAAGTCTGCTGCATTCGGTGGACTGTTGCGAAGCCTCGAAGTCTGCTGCATTCGGTGGTTGTGCGGTGAAACCTCAAAGTCTGCTGCGCTGCATTCAGTGGACTGCTGTGAAGCCTCAGTGCATCTCCGCCACCTATTCAGGGAAGTCGAAATATTCAGAAACATGTCTGTTGATGATGTATATTTTCAAAATATAACAGAGCGCCAGGGCGACCTCGCAACATCTTGTTCAAGAGGCAGCTTGACTTGGGATTCACTCTTCTTCTGTCTATGCTCAGAAAGCATGAATGCGACTAGCTCCCTGCCAACTCAGCACAAATGTGTTGAGCCGCTACATCTGTATAGATTCTGTACACATTCATGAGCTCAGGAAACATAGCATGGGGCCATGGGCCGATTTAGCACAGAGGAAGTGCCAGTTGGGGATGCTTTGCGAGGTCTGCTGCGTTCACGCTGCTTTGCAACCAACTGATATAAGGCATGGGTGTTACAGGCTATGGCTGCTACTTTCTGTAAGAGTATAAGAATGCGGGCGACACAGTTGATTTGTGTACCGAGTGGAGCCTACTGCTCTCTGAACTTGAGTTTGGTGGCATGTTCTGATTTTTTATGACAGTATGTCTAACAACTACAAAGCACACAGAGCAAGGAAGTAATCTTAGATCTCTGGAAAGTAGTCGGTTGGGAAGATAGATTCGGAAAGATGGGTTTGCGCACTCTAAACTTGAGAGTTAAACCTGCGTTAAACTTGAGTTAAACTTGAGAGTTAAACTTGAGAGTTAAACTTGAGAGTTAAATTTGAGAGTTAAACCTTGAGAGTTAAACCTTGAGTTACACTTGAGAGTTAAACTTGAATTAAACTTGAGTTTGCTGGGTGGCATGTTCCGATTAACGACTGCATTCTATTATTATATAATCATGGTTAAAGCACCAGTACACCACATATTGGCCCGCGGGTGTCAGCATGAAACCCGCACCACTTCGGAGGCCGCCGATTTTTTTTTTCAACGGCGTGGAGGGCCGCGCGGCGTCCCCGAGTTTTGCTTGTGGCGACAAAAACTTTCTGCAAGGCTGGGGCCGGGTACTAGCTGTTTACAGCTACAAAGCACACAGGGGGGAAGGCAGTAATGTTAGATTTCTGGCTAGTAGTCAGTTGAGAAGACATAAGAGCGATGAATAAATAGTAAATAATCAATGCAGTTAGGGGTTTAATGGCGGTGCAGCAGAACCACATCGAATAGGAGGAGCACGAGAAACACACCTGCTACATACCTTCTCCTCTATGCGACTCAGTCTGTGCCCGAGAAGACATAAATCATGACATGACAGCAAAGTTAGCGAACTCAAGTTCAGAATGCAGAAGGCTCCACTAGGTACACAAATCAACTGCGTCTGTCAGCCATAGCCTGGAACACCCATTCGTTATATCGGTTGGTTGCAAAACGTTTTTTCTATTTCGGGTCTGTGACTTTTATGCATTGCAGCGAGAACTTCTGAGACGATCTGAATTACTTCTATGTGGGCACTGGTTATTGATGGGCATCTTACCTGTATGCAATAGACTATTTTTGTGATTCTTAATTCGGCGTATCAGGAGTTGTGTTTCCATCGTTCCATGCCATTACTGGATTTGAGACAGAAAGCTGTTGGCATAGTGTGTGTGTGTGTGTGTGTGTGTGTGTGTGTTTTATTATAAAAGACTACGTAGCTCCGAGCATGCAATTGAGGGCGGGTCTGTCCTATCAGACAGGTTGTCTTGATAATTGACAGCATGAATCCACGTGGCTTGGTCCGTGTGTGTGCATCTAATTCTACTCAGCTTTCCTTAGACCCCGCTGTACGCTCCACCTGGGCCTCCCCTTGGCCTTCCCTTGGCGCTATCCCCTCGCCCCCTACGTTCCTTCCCTGTCCTTTGTGTCTGCTATTCCTCAGGCCGTCCCTTTGTCCCAGCCTATCTCTGGATTCAGGCGGTCCCATCGCTCCAGCAGATACCCTGTATCTGCACTCTTGCAATAACTCGATCCTTTGGGCACTACACAAAGGAGTTGACGTCACCATTTGGCAGGGACCCGTTCCCCCAGATGAGTTTATCTGGAGACGTACCGTCCGGGTGCGGGCATGAATGTGTTTGGCTTGGCCGTCAACGATGTTCAAGGACATTCGTGTGGGGTTGCTGAACTCCTGGCAAGCTTTCAGGGGGACGAAGGCCTTGCTTGCGAAACTGGGGGCGTCGATGCAGGAGGTGCCAACACTGCGCATGCTCAAACCAGGACTTTTTCGGCCGAATGCGGTCGTACTGTGAGTTAGATACGTTCAAGAAAGTCCTACCACCGTACGACGAGTATGTCTTCCCATGAGGCTGTCCCATCTAAAGGTTCCAACGGGCGTCACTCTGGTCTGTGGACCATGCATGTTTCACAAAAGCAGAGAGGTGGAGGATGGGATGGGTGCAGCCTGTGTGAGTATGATTGACTGCATGGTAGGTGGGAAAGAGGACGTGAAGGTGTACGGTGGTATGTGGAGGCAGTCGGAGAACGCCGCATGCACTACAAAGTGTACAAAGCAGCTCAATACCTGCCCATGGGGCGACATGCTGTGAACTGATGAAAGGCGCTGTGCTTCTTCTCCATGGCTGGCCATTCTGCTCCACTGTAGCCCTACCCAACTGTGTTGAGCCAAATCAATCCCGCTCTGCCCGAGCCGTAGCTGGGCCATGGCCAAGCGAAGGCCGCACTTCTGGCCGGCTGCTGTATGTGGTGGGATACGATTATTATTATTATTATTATTATATAATAATAATAATAATATTATTATTATTATATTATCATTGTTATAGCCGAAAAAGATAAGGGAAAACGGCACGTAAGAAGAGAGAGTCGAGGATGGAGGATGAGGGCTGCAAACAGATGTCATTGCCATTTTCGTTGATTTCAGCACAATCAAAAGGCCCGGCAACGCTCGCCATCATTCATCTGCGTGACACTGGACGGAACCTGCGAAGGGAGTTTGAGTGCGATCTGGAACTCCTTTTGACACACATGCGCTATTTTCAAAGCCGTATCGATGCAAAAACTTATGGCAGCATCCTGAGCAGCTGCAATAGCACCAGTCATAGCAGTTGCAGTAGCAGAGGGAGCAATAGAAACGGTAGCAGTGATGGTGGCAGTGACAGAAACAGGTATGGAAACAAGGGTGGAAACATTGGCAGCAAGAACAGCAATGACTGCGGTAGATGTAATAGTAAAAGCAGTAGTTATCGTGGTGATTCTGGGATTAGCTGCGGACCAAAACATGGTGAAGCGATGTGGCGAAAAGTGCACATTTCAGTGCACTGCGATGTGGGGGTGTTCGCTTGGCTACTTAGATACGTCAAAGGGGAAGAGAGAGCACCCCTGTCAGTCCAGACGTGTTTGCCGCTCCTCATTTCAGCCGAGTTTCTGCAAATGGAGACTCTGGTCAATCAGTGCGTAGAATTTCTGTGCAACAATCTTCTAGCTGTTGCTGCCCTGCCACTCGACTTGTGTGGCATCAGCCAATCCATCTTGGGGCGGTTGGCCACGTGGGTTAGCGAAGACACATTGGAGAAGCTTTATTGGGGATGGGAAGTGAGTCCAGTCGCTGCTGCTGCTCCTTCTCCTGGCCTCCATACAAGCCCAGGTTTGTATTCATCGAACAACACAATGGCCACAGTCCCAGTCGGTAAATCAGGCTCACTGCTGGAAGATAGCCCGATGCCTTCTTCCCATTCTGGCACAGATTCGCCTTTAGTGACCAAGAGGGTGGCAACACAAGCAGATGGATGCAGTGCAGCAGTAGAAGCAATCCCGGCAGGTCCTGATCGTGCTCCTGGTCCAGTTTCAGGGTTGTATATAGGTTCCTTTGCAGGCTTCGGTTCAGGTCCTGGGCACACCAGCACTGGGACAGTTCGAAATGGAGTTAACTCCACAGCTTTGGAGGCAAGCCCCTCTCTTCACACTGGTCCTGGCCGTGTTCCTGGTCCCACATCAACGCCCCGTCCAGGGTTCCATTCAGGTCCGAACGCTATTCCTGCAAACAAGAATGCAACAAGACTCACAGGCAGACCAGCTGCAGCACAAGAAGTGAACACAGGACTTAGTTTGAAGAGACGGGACCCTGATCGACGTCTCATGACATCCAGGCCGAACTTGTCTTGCCAACTTTACAAGATGAAGCTGGAGGCATTCCTGCATAATTGGAGTGGATATGTTTGCCGCTGTGCTGTCTGTGGGACTCTGTTCCCATCAGAGGCCCACGGACTGTTGCGATGTCCCGGCTCGCAAGGTGGGGGACCTCCATCCGTTGATCGGTGTCAAGGAGATGTCTATAAATCTACTGATTGCAGATCAGCAAGTGTTTTGCAGGATTCGAACGACTCATGTCATGATGGTGTACAGCACAGGATGTGCACTCCGGTTGGATCTAATAGGGGGCACAGAACACATGTGCGACAGGCTGATTGGGATGTGTACACATATCTGAACCAGCTGAGGCAGAGAAGGTACACATGGCGTGCACTCTACTGGCATGTCTGGGGAAGAGTCCACGTCTTCCAGTGTTCCTTGTGTCAGCAAGTGTTTTCTGTCGCTGACATCGATAAGTGCGTGCACAACTCGAAGTTGGATCGAAACCCTGGAAGCACCATTGTCGGTGAGGCTGTGCTACACACACAATCACTGAATGCAAACGATGCAGCAGCTGTCTTATGGCGATCAGACATGTCAGTCAGTTTGGAGACCAATAAGGAGAAAGAGGGATTGGAAAGGAAGGAGCTGGATGAGAAGAAGGTGGTCAATCATCAGCGGCAGGAGGAGGAGGAGGAGGAGGAGGAGGAGGAGGAGGAGGAGGAGGAGGAGGAGGAACAACTGAAAGATGCTGAGAATTATAACAAATACGGCACTCAGGCGAAAGACAGAGTGGGATTGATCCCGAGCATTCTCCTCAATGAGAACGTGGTGGAGGGAGAGGGGAAGAAGGAAGACAAATGGGACGGTGAGGAGCAGTACACATGGGAAATAGGTGACGAGAGTGGTAAGTTTCTCGGTCACTTCAATACTGGAGAGGGGCCGCCGGTAGCTCTCAACAGTTGCTCGGATGGAGATGCTCCTAGAGAGAACGCTGCTCCTCCTCATCCTTCTCTTGCTCCTTCGACTTTTCCTGTTCTCCTTGCTCCCCCTATGCATCTTTCTCCCCTTCCTCCCCCTGCTTCCCCTTCTGGTACTATTCCTCCGTCTGCTGCTACCGTACATCCTTCTGGTTTGCCCCCGCCTATGCCTGCACCTCCTCCTCCTCCTCCTCCTCCTCCTCCTCCTCCGCCTCCTCCTCGCTTGTCACTGGCAGCTCTTGCAGAGACTTGCCCAGAACCTTGTCAGCAGCATGCACATGAGCCGATGATCCGTGAAAGCCTGTTCTGCTACGACGCCAAGAAGGGCTACGGAATGGCCGTAGCTGGTTCCGATACTGCAAGTGGGACCAGCTGGGACTGTGGCATGGCGAAGCAGTCCTCTCGCAGTGATGGGCTGCAGGAAGCTTTCCGGGTCTATCGATCGGTTCTAGAGCTTGCCAACCGCCATCGCCCCGTCATCACTTCGCCTTTCCAAGAGAGTGTAGAACGCACGTTTAAAACCGAGCCGGCTCAGAAGAGTGACAACAATTACACTCAGCAGCAGTCGACTCTCACTTCTGTGGATCATGCAGCGACCACTTATCGTCCTCACCAACAGATCAAGCACAAGCTCGAGGGGCGAAACGACTCACTGCCAGTTGCAAAACTTCGTCATAAGAGCAACAACTCTCAGCCCCTTCAAGCAAATCATAATGGCATGGCTCATGCGGGTCATCCTTATCAACAGATGCCAAAGAGGTTCAACGAGATAGATCCTATGGTATGCAGAAAGAACACATCCACCATCCTTTCTGGCACTGAAGGTCTGCGTCAACCTATGTGCAGTATGCCGAAGGGAGGGAGTTCTGTCCCATCTCTCTCCGCCCCCAAGGATGTGGCCTACGACTCTGTAGGTCCAGGTTACACGCTGTCACCGTGTAAAGGACCCAGTTTTGCAAGCGGGCATGATACTACTAGATTGCTTTCTCCTCCAACAAGTACAGCCTTTGCATCTGGAGGTGATGGACGATTGCTCAACCACTCAAAAGGTGCATCGTCTGGCATTGCAGTTGATGTTCGATTGCTAAATCCCCCAAAAGGTGCAGTGTCTGGCGCTGGTGGTGACGGGCAACTGCTAAMCCCCCCAAGAGGTGCCGCATCAGGCACTGGACGTGATGGGCGCTTGCTAAACCCGCCGAAAGGTGCAGCATCTGGCACTGGAGGCGCTGCTACAGCTGAGACTGGAAACGTTGTATCTAACCATCCTTCTGCCCGTAATAAGGCAACCAACTTACAGAAGCTGAGGGCGATCTACTCCTCGCCCTGTCGAGATCGAAGAATAAAGACAGGCTCTGAGAAGGAAAGAAAATGGAGAGCAGAGACGAGGAACACAAAGGCTGACAATGGTCGCAAAGGTCCCTCAGCTTTCTACAACGAGAAGAAGACTCAAGGGGAGGAGGAGGAGGAGGAGAAAAGGGCAGAGGTCATGTGTGATCATTATGGATGTAGCAACTGTGAGCGCAGAGTGGGGAAGCAAGGTGGTGGTAATGAACATGACAACAATGGCGACAACAATGATGTCGAGGATAACAACGCCAACTATAATGAGAACGAGGAAGAGGTAGGAGGAGGTGAAGAAGGAGGAGGAGAAGAAGAGAGTATCGAGGAGTCGATCGCAGATACACAAGGTGATAGATGTACGGAACAAGATTATTCGCCAGGAGGCTGCAAAAATCTCAGTGGTTTTCACAGTGATGGAGGCCAGGTGTCGATGAAGGGTTGCCGAGTCCTGAGATTGTCAATGAGAGAGGAGCAGAGGGACGTAACGGAGAGGGAACATAGCGAGTTTGGCGTTCAGGAGTCACACGAATGTTATTCGTGTGACAGTACCTTGCTTCACACCCACAGGACTCGATTGAATGTTACTGCTGCCACATATGATGCTTCTGCTGCTGCCGAAGAGGTGGATACTCAAACATCCCCGTCGTCGATGGCAGGTGATAAATCTGGCAGCGTGATGCGCTCAGGGAATGTTTCGAGATGTAATGGGGAGAGGAATACAATCTTCTGTTCTTCCTCCTCCTTCCCGTCCTGTTCATCCTTTTGTGCCAAAACCACCTCCATCACAACGACCACCTCATCATCATCATCATCATCATCATCATCATCATCATCATCATCATCATCATGTTCTTCCTCCTCTTCTTCCTCCTCTTTCGCCTCCTCTTTCTCTTCCTCGTTTGGTGAACAAGTGGGAGTGGCGTTTGGGCGTTCCTCGGTGGTCTCAGAATGGGCGCGCATGAATCTCGAGTTACATGAGAACATGAACCTGAAGATGAAGACGAAGAGGAGAACGAAGAAGAAGTTGAGGAGCTCATATTCTACTACCCCATCCATGGATCCAGATGGAACTAATCTCGCTAGCAATAATCGGTCCAAGAACGATGGAAGTAGAGGTGCTCAAGTGGGGCCAGACAATGTCGGCCAAGCGTTAGATCAAGGGATGTCCAAGAGCAGCAATTGTGAGTGTTTGAATCTGGGTTCAGCTCCTCCTCCTCCGCCGCCAACTGCAGTCGCAGTCATAGACGATGATGAGTGGGTCTGGAACGAGGCAGAGAAGGCGCTACTGTGGTCTCTGCGGCGTGAAGACGATGCCATCCGCATGCGCCTTCTCATACATCGACTTGCAGATAATCGAAAGACCAGCAGCAGTGAAGCCAGCAACGTTGGTAAACCGCAGCCTCAGAAGACTCCTCGAGACACCAGCAATCACGATGGTCACCACAGTCGTTCTCCAGAAGGACGGGGTGCTTGGCTTCGGAGGCCGGCTAGTGTAGCTGATGAGACTTGTCATACACGTGGGCGCTCACATGAGCGGGCAACCGGCCGTCCACGGGCACTTACAAGCGAGTGTCATCGCAATAGCAGCGGCAAATCGGAGCAACATATGTCATTGATTGATATCTTGACCTTGGCCACAAATTGCAGCAACGCCCTCCCTGGGAAGTACTCCCGTAGCAGTCCCATGAGCAGCAGTGGTGGCCATGCTGGTGGCGATGTTTGTGGTGATGCCACTGGTGGTGGTGGCGGTGATGGTAGCAGCAGCAGCAGTAGAAGTAACAGCAGTATTAGCGGTGGTAATCGTATTAATCCTAGTGATCGTGGGAGCAGTAGAAGTAATGATGGTGGTACTAGAAGTAGGGAACGGCAAATTGATCATCCTGACAAGCATCATTATCATAGTACAGGCAGAACTGATATTCACGAGGAGGCTCATAATCGTGAGCTTGACGATGAATATTATAGTTGCGACGTTGGAGATGACCGTAGCGATGCAGTAAAGGAGAAAGACGAGGAAGAGGAGAAAGAGGAGGAAGAGGAGGAAGAGGAGGAAGAGGAGGAAGAGGAGGAAGAGGGGGAAGAGGAGGAAGAGGAGGAAGAGGAGGAAGAGGAGGAAGAGGAGGGAGAGGAGGGAGATGAGGCAGAAGAGGAGAGGGAGGAGGAGAGGGATAAGGACAAGCAGGAGGTGGAGGAGGACGAGGAGGAGGAAGAGGAGGAGGACGAGGAGAAGTGCAGTAGCGCCATATCTTGTTCTAGTGAGGAAACAGAGAGAGAGCTATGTAGATCTGCTAAGCCTCCTAGCAGAGGAGTAGATTGTCAAGAAAACCTTTATGCCAGAAAAGCAATAAAGAAGCTGCTTTTGCGGAGGAATATATGGACTGAGCTTATGAGCTTTTCTGGTCCAGCAGCAGAAAGGCAGGGTTCAGCTTTCCTTTCCTCCTCGTCAGTCTCTTCACATTCTTTCCCTAACAGAAGACCTTCCTCAGCCATATTCCCGTCCATTAAACACCATCATGAGCCCCACTGCCACCCACGGCTCACCTCCCTCCCTGCCCGATCTGTGCATCTTGACGGCCTACTTAGACCCCAAAGTGCCCCCCCCTTTTCCCTGACTCCCCAACCAACAGTGCTACCTTCTTGAGCCTACCAGCTTTGCCTCTGGCACGGGCACATCTATATGCGTGTTGTGATGTTTGCTCCATACCTATCTCCATAAAAAAGCATGGTTTAGAGTCTTTAGACACATTGCTTGTCGAACTTTCAATGGCACTTCTTAACTCACGACACAAGTTGACGACAGCGATGCAGCCGTCTGTCCAGTATGTCTTATTTGATGCCTTGAATTGCCTTCAGGTGCCCTAGCAGCTTGTCCTAGTCAACCTCATTGTGATTGTGTATGTGTTGTCAGTCGCTGATTATGGGAATCTTATGGCCCCCAGGAAGAAAAAGCAGGTATGCTCTTTTTTTTTTTTTTTTTTTCCCTTCTTCTTCTGGGTATGCGTTGTATCAGTGTGACCGAATGCACCAGCTTTGGCATGCCTGAACTGTGTGCCCTATGTCATGTTCAATCATATGTGTCGACTTCTGGCCATCCAGCTCTCTGAGGTTTTTGCACGAACTGTGGTCGCTCGCACTTTGCCTTTGACTCCTTTTTTGGCCTATAGCCAGGCCTATTTGCCTGTTCGGCCATCCAGTTCTCTGAGGTTTCCCCCCTATAGCCAGGGCTATTTGCCTGTTCGCCCTGTGGGATCAGGCCGTTGGCCTGATCTCACAGGCCATGTGGATATTCATTCCGCTCCAGTCCACTCCAGCCCGGTACCACTGTCGATACAAGTCCAGTCCAGTCCAGTCCAGTCAGTCCGCTGGGGTACCGGGCGGATCCCAGAAGGAAGAGATGAGGTGGAAGGTGGATATGGCGGAACGGA